AATCTGGGTTTCACAGCAAAGCTGTCAAGAGACGATAAAGGTTTAACTTACATTTAAAGGAAATCTTGACATCCTGTGATTTGGGTCATAAACATACAATTAAGTTGGCTTCTTTGACATCTTACTTAATGATCAACTTCTACTGATGTTCCAAACTTGGCTTATTTCCCATTTTTAGGAATACATTAATGCCGTGTGTGCACTATATGCTGATACTGTTTGACGCAAGTAGCAAACTGCAATATCATCTCTAACTGTGTGAATGGAATAGCATCAGTTACTTTCATTGTCAAATTTGAAGTACTAAAACACACTAGGAGTGTTGTATTACTGAATCTATTTCAAATAAAGTTTGGCTTCAAATACTGAGACACAGGTCACAGGTATTTTCAGGGTCATGTCATGAGCAGAGAGTTAGAAAGAGGGAAGAAACACAGGTTTTTACTCCAAGTTTTAGTTTCAGAATGGGTAGAACATTCACAACAGTTTGGAGTAAAAGTTCTGTTATGCCAATATCATTGTTTGGAAGCTATAAACATACAGCGACACAGTAGAATCAAAATGTATTCAGAATACTTACAGAAGAAACTCCAAGTTCCTTTAACGCTACAGCAAAGATTTTCCATTTCTCAATGTTCATAACATCTGGCTTCCATGTTGCGCTGAAGAACTAGTGACTGACACACACACACACACACACACACACACACACTGCCTACAATGCCAGACGTGTCAGAACAGAGTCAGCATCCATTCCCCGCCCAGCATTCAGTCTTCGACTGTGCATGAGCAATGCCACAAAACTAGCAATCGCTGTGAAATACACCGCAAAAACGTCAACCCCACCATTACGTATGCCTGAAATAGCGCAAGTAGCATTAAAAGAGAGGGTTAAATGAGAGCTCTAATTACAAGAAACCCCAAAAGGCACCGTGTTTCTCTCCTTAAACCAAAGATTCCTGCACTGACTGATTGAAATACAGGGAAGTCGCAGGTGATCTGATCTGCTTCCTGTGTGCAGATTTTTGGAACAGGGATCGCCTCCTCTATTGTTTACACTGTCACACCTGAGGAGAGTCATGAGACTGATATATAGTAAATAGTTTTTGTAAGGAACAAAATGTCCTTGCAGGAGTTTAACTGCAGCATTTGGTATTCACAAAAACAGTGAGTGAGGGCTTTGTCACCATGGTCTGATGTATTATTTCAGGTTTTTGATGCTTGATGGTTAGCTAGCACTTCTTTAGTCACATTCTATGACTTCTTATCTAAGTACAAATACAGAGCAAGAACTAAGTCCATAATTGGAACAAAAACATCAACACAACCATCAGATAGTGACACAAATTTAGAAACTAAACCATAACAAAGACTAAACGCTAGGATTGGTCATGTGTCTACCAACTGAAAATACCACAAAAATCAGCCAAATATAAAAAAACTAGAGTCAAATAAGTCCTTTGTATCCTTGCTTTACTTCCACCAGCCATTGCTGAAGGAGCTCAGGAAAAATACGAAGCAGGAATCAAGAGCACAAGATACAAATACAGGAAGACCTGACCCCATTACTTCGCCCCCACCTGTGCATTTGAGACACAGGCAAGCAATGCTGATTTGATTTTGTTCTAATCTAAAGTGTTTTTAAAGACAATATAGCAAAGCCACGCCGTGGTTATTTGTAAAAATAATAATAAAAAATAAAAACCTAAACTAGTTTTCTGTAGCGCCCCCTGTCTTGTGGGTAAGTGTTTGGCCGCCTGCTCTACCCATCAAATTATGCCAACTTTGGAAAAAAAGCACCTGATTAAACCTTTCCTGGTTTTCCAAGCTTGCATGCAAAAGAATCCACCTGGGACAGACAGTATACTAACCTAGAAAGCCCAGGGCAACTGTATAACTTACAAGTAAGACATTTTAACAGTACACACACCCACTGTAAACACAGATGCGATAACAGGCACAATCAGATGGTTACAGATAAGGTTTCTGCTTCTTTCTGACAACAACAGAATTCTCATCTTTCTCCATCCTCCAACCTCAGTGGCACCTGTAGCTACCTCAGTCCTTGGTTATGTTGATCTGGCACTCACACAATAGGGAAACAAGCACAAACAAGAGTTTCCTCCAATTCCACACATCAGAATTAAAGGGATGACAATACGAACTGTGTATAACAACAACAGCATTATCTTAAGCACCGCAGTCGACCTTGTTAATGACACTTTTTGTATTCACTGCAGACTTTCAGCATCAGCAGAGAGAAACAGACCTGAGGGCAGGGATTCGGTCCAGCTTTTGATGTGGGCTTTAGGAGAAGAAAACTTGGGGAAAACAACACAAACCAGATTTGGAGAAAAACATTTAAAATAGAAAAAACTAAATATATTGGTGGATTTTTATCATTGTGAAATGTTAAACAGGTGTAAATACAACAATTTGATATAGTATATGTCTGAAATGGAATATCAGCCGTAATATTTGTAAATCTAATTGGCAATAAACAAATATCTAGCTTTTGATCATAGTAATGCTCACCTATTTTTGGTAAGCAGGATGTATATACTTTTGTG